TCAAGACTTACTATAAAGCAATAGTAATCAAGACAGCGTGGAATTGAATGACAGACATGTAGTTCAATAGAAAGCACAGAGTTCAGCAGTATATCCACTTACATGGTCAACTGACTGTCAATAAAGGAGCAAAGGTCATTCAGTGAGGGAGAAATGTCTTTTCAACAAACTGTGGTGGTATCTGTACAGGAAAAAAATGTTCCTCAATCCTTACCTTACATCACATGCAAAAAAACCTTGAAATGAATCATAGTCCCAACAATTAAAGGTAAAAACCATTAAACCTATAGAAGAAAACAGAAAAAAATAGTTGGGACACTGGGTTAGACACAAATATATATATATTTTTTTCCTCACCCGAGGACATTTTTCCATTTTTTGTTCAGATGGAGCGGGAGGGAGAGAGAGAGGAACAGAGAGAGAGAGAAACATCGACGTGAAGGGACACATCGAGTGGCTGCCACCCACACGACCAACCAGGGCCAGGGACAAACTGCAACCGAGGTACGTGCCCTTAGTGGGAACCGAACCCGGGTCTCTCGGGACCGCAGGCCGACGCTCTAACCGCTGAGCCGAACCTGCCGGGGCTAGACACAAATATCTTAAACAGGCCACTACAAACAAAAATTAATAAAATAGACATAAAAACCAAAAACGGTATGCTCTTTGAAAGCTAGTTACAATAAAAAGATAAGCCAGATTTGGGGAAAATATTTGCAAAACACATATCTGACAAAGGGCTGGTATCTAGAAAAAATAAAGAACACTTACAATTTTGTAACAAGAAGGCAAACAACCCAACTGGAAAACTGGACAAAAAAAACAGGATATATTAATGGCTAATGCATATAAGATACTCAATGTCATCAATTATCAAGAAAATGCAAATAAAGCCACTGGGAGAAGGGACTTTACTTACACATCTACTAGAATGGCTAAAATAAAAAAGACTGACAATATCGAGTTTAGTCATATTTCAACATAATTGAAACTCCCATCGATTGCTTGGCGAAACACAAAACGTTTCCTCCTCTTTAGGAAAAAGTGTGGTAGTATCTTTAAAAATAACACATATTAAACCTATTCGACTTTCAATAATTTAGTTGGCCTTAGAGAATCAAAAATGCTTCAACTAATGTACATATATCAACAATCCACTTGTCCAGAGGATTTTATATGTGCTCTGCAAACACACTTTTCTAAAACAGAGTGAAACTTGATTCAAAGCATCATATATATATATCTTTAGTGGAATTTAAAAATAGGTAAAATTACAACTTTAAAAAAAGCACAGAAAGTCAGAAGTATTCTAAATTTGAGTCTAATTTTACAACATGGCACAATGTAGTAACTACTAGATTAATAAACCAAAATTTCATCTCCAATCTTGGGGAAGTCTTCACTTCTCTGGACTTGTTTTCTAATCTATAAAATAAAGATGGCAGGGTATGTGTAGGAGTGACGTTAGATGACTATATACACTTCAGACATTAAAAATAATTTGGACAGGTGAAATTCTCCACAATTTTTGTTTTTAAACCAGCTTTATTGTGACATAATTTACAGAGCATAACATTTATCTCTTTAAATTGCACAATTCAATGGTTTTAGTATATTCACTATTCTGCAATCAAGTTTAGAACATTTCCATCATCTACACTCATTCCCAAACCCACCCTATTGGCAGTCATTTCCCTTCCCCACAGCCCGTGGCAACCATGAGTCTATTTTTATTTCTATAGATTATAGATATGCCTATTTGGAACATTTCATATAAATTGAATCATACATGTGATCTTCAGTGACTGACCTCTTTCACTTAGCATGTTTTCAAGGTTCAACACATTGTAACATTCATCAGTACTTCATTTTTTATTAATTGCATGGAGAGACCACATTTTGTTACCCACTCATCAGTTGATGGGCATTTGGGTTGTTCCACTTTTGGCTATTACATCTGTGTACAGGTTTTGTGTGGATGTATGTCTTCATTTCTCTTGGGTGTATACTTGAGAGTGGATTTGATGCATAACGTGGTAACTATGTTTAACCATTTGAGGAACCACCATACTTTTCCCAAAGTGGCTCCTCCATTTTCCATTCGTACCAATAGATCATAAGGGTTTCAAGTCCTCTGCATTCTCACCAACACGTTATCTGTCTTTTTGAGTCTAGCCATACTATTAGGTGTGAAGTGGCATCTCACTGTGGTTTTAGCTTGCATTTTTCTGATAATTAGTGATAACGTTTTTTTTCATGTGCTTATTGGCCACCTATGTTTTCTTTGGAGAAATGTCTATTCAGATATTTTACAGACTTCTGAGTTGTCTTATTATTGCACTGTAAGAGTTTTTTGTTTTTTATCCTCATCGGGGGACATTTTTCCCTATTTTGTTCAGATAGACTGGGAGGGAAAGAGAGAGAGAAACATCGATGTGAAAGGGACACATCGAGTGGTTGCCACCCGCACGACCCAACCAGGGTCGGGGACAAACTGCAACTAAGGTACGTGCCCTTAGCGGGAACAGAACCCAGGTCTCTCTGGACCGCAGGCTGACGCTCTAACCACTGAGCCAAACCGGCCAGGGTAAGCGTTCTTTATATAAGTACCTCCTAATGCAAATACTTTATCATATTTATAATTTGCAAATATTTTCTATTTTGTGGGTTATCTCTTAATTTTTTTCTTAATCCTCACCCAAGGAGGATATGTTTATATATATATATATATATATATATATATATATATATATATATATATATTTTTTTTTTTTTTAGTAAAAGGGAGGGGAGGGGGTGAGAGAAACATTGATGTGAAACACATCAAGTGGTTGCCTCCCACACATGCCCCAACTAGGGCCAGGGATTGAACCTGCAACCCAGATACATGACCTTGACTGGGAATTGAATCCGTAACCCTTTAGTGCATGAGCTGACACTCTAACCACTAAATAACACAGGCCAGGGCCATCTCTTCATATTCTTGATGGTGTCCTCTGAAACACATTTCTTTTTTTTTTACAAAGTTCCTTTTCTCTTGCTGTCTGAACTTTCAATGCCATATCAAAGACATCATTTCCTAATCCAAAGTCACAAAGATTTATGTCTATGTTTTCATCTAAGAGTTTTACAGCTTTAGCTCTCAAATTTTAAGTTTTGATCCATTCAAGTTATTTTTGTATATTGTATTAGGTAGGGATCAAACTTCATTCTTTCATGTGGATATCCAGTAGCATTTGCTGAAAGACTACTGTTTCCCCATAAGTTGTTTTGGCACTCTGGTAGAAAATTAATTGAACATAAATGTGAAGGTTTATTTCTGGACCCTCAATTCTACCCCACTGATATATATATATAATGTATTATAATGTATATGTCTATTTTTATGCCAGGACCACAAATTCTTCATTACTGTAGTTTTGTATTAAGTTTTAAAATCAGAATTAAGGGCAAGCCCTTCTAGTTCTCTTTTTTAAGACTGCTTTGCCTATCTGTGTCCCGTAAATTAACATGAATTTTAGAATCAGCTTGTCAGCTTCTACAAACAAATCAGCTGGAATTAATGGGGATTGCATCAAGTCTATAATTTAGCTTGCCACCTTAATATCAAGTCTTCTGATCCATGAACATGGGATGTCTTTCCATTTATTTTAAGTTTGATGTTTTTGTTAATTTAATTAATTTGTTTTTTATCCTCACCCGAGGACATTTTTGCATTTATCTTCAGGTAGAGCAGGAGGGTGAGAGGGAGAAAGAGACAGAGAGAAACATCGACGCAATAGAACTACATCGACTGGCCACCACCTGCACGACCCCGACCAGGACCGAGGATGAACCACAACCCAGGTATGTGCCCGTGACCAGAATCAAACCACGACTCATTGTTCCGTGGGCTACGCTCTGCTGCTGGGCCAAACTGGCCAGGGATATTTTAAGTTTAAAAAATTTTTCATTTAACAATACTTTTGTAGTTTTTAGAGTATTAATTTTGTACTTCTTTTGTGAAATTTATTCCAAAGTATTTTATTCCCCTTAGTGCTGTTGTAAACAGACTTTCTTAACTTAATTTAGTACTGTTCACTGAAGATATATAGAACTACAATTGATGTTTGTATATTGACTGGATTGCTACAACCTTGGTAAACTCATTTATCAATTCTAGTAGTTTTTAGTGGATTCCTTAGAATCTTGTGTATGTAAAATACTGTCTTTTGCAAATAGTGACAGTTTTACTTTTTCTTTTCCAATCTGATTGCCTCTAGACTTTTTGATAAATGAATATACAACTTAGTATCTAGAGATGTTAAACTCAGTATTATATATATTAATTTTTAAAACAAAAGGGAAAGAAAAAAGTGATATAGAAGAAAAAGAAAACAAAAACCCACACCAAATTAGGAGGCAAAAAATCTGATTCCCACATCATTATTAATTACCTGTGTGATCCTGAACACATTTCTAATTCTCTTCTGATTATACATTCGATTTTTCAAATCTTTTTTTTCCATTTGGAATACCTGTTTACTTCTGGAGATATATAGAGTAGCTTTCCTTGGATATTTCAGCATTACAACCATGATTTTTACTACATATACTGATAATCTTCCTCCTTTTCCATTTTTCCCTCAGAAAAGAGAATAAAGCTACCAAAACGAAAGGGCATACTAAAAGTATTTTCACATAGTAAATATAACTCTTATAAAAGGCCCAATAGAAGACATTGCGAGATTACAGTCAATTATAGAGTTAACTTCTTGGAGAAAAGCGGAAATATAAATATGTTAGAGGTTTGTGCAAGAAATAAGTAAAAATGAGCAGATGAGGCATTTACTCTGTCTAGTACCATATTAACACTTTAAAGCTATGACTAAAGTATAGTCAACAAAGATAAAACACGGCAAGAGTATGTTTTAAAACTATACATTATCCACAGTTTTTAAAAGGACTATCTTTTAAAACAAAAGGTTTAGTAATTTTTTAAAATAATTTTGATTAAAATGGCAAAAGTATTTCCTCACATATAGAACCACATTACATTTTTCTGCCTAACATTAATTAGACATCCTCCCTCTGCCTCTGCTAATGCTGAGGATGCTAGAATACCAAGCCACACTTAAACATTTTTAATTTCACTTCAAGTGTTTTGGAACCTCAGTTTTAATCTCTGACATAAAGGAAGAGGACTATCCAAACAAGTACCAGAGCTGTCTTTTTCCTTATGACATTGTATAACACTCAGAGAAACTTTGGCTGCATCTGGGAAATAGTTTTCTTCACATTCAGCTGTTTTAGAAGCCTGAACATACTGTTCCATTTCTTTAATATGTATCTGAGGGTTACTCAAATTGTTGGCATCTTTTTTCTTGAATTGGGCTGCTTTGTGTTTCTGAAAACTCTGCTTCATTTTTTCTGTTGCATTCTTAGTTTTCCCAAATACTGGGGGACTTTCTTCAAGAGAGGCATTTCTGTCAAAGCAAACACTTTCCTTCATTACCATTTTCTGAGTGGTTTGCAAATCAACTTTTCTACTATGACCTAAAGAAGTATTCAGTGGCTCAACTCTAACATCAGAGGTCTTTGCTATCATATTTTTGACATAAGGGATAGCAGTATTCCCTTTATAGTTTTCTTGAAACAGCTGTTCTCCTTTTAGAACTTTACAGTCCCCAGATTCACTTTGCAAATAAATTCCTAGAAGATCCTTGGAAAGATGTGACGGACAATCAGCACTACTGTTAGCAATACAAGATTCTTTTACTGTGAGTGAGGATACAGTTTTCAGGTCCACACCTGGTTGTACATCATCCTGAGGATGTGATGATTTTATAAGTATTCGTTCCTTTAAAGGCAAATCTCGAAGATGTAAATCAGTAATGCCAGAAAGTAGATGCTCTTCAGCACCAGTCTTTTGACGATCCCAATCCAACACTTTGTCAACGTTGGTAGTGCACCATTCTGATTCACAGGACAATTGTCCTGGGATATGTTTAAAGCTATCATAAATGGCTGCTTCAAGTTCTGATTTCTGACCATGAGAGAAAGTCTTCCTTGGAATAGCTGGAGAATTACTAAAAGAAGTTCCATCCCAATCAATGGTGCTCAAGTGTAGATCATCAATCGCTGTCACATTTTGGGATGAGATACTTGGTTGACTAGATTCTGAAATTAGAGATTTACTGACAGCTTTCTGCATAGCCAAAGGTTTTGAAGAAGATATGAACTGTTCTTGTGTATTTAAACAGAGAGCATCTTCAGATAAAAGCAAGCTATTCAGTGACGCAGAAAGAGATTCCTGGGGTAATGTAGAATCAGGAAAAAGTTTCAAATTTAATTGTGAATTCTGCTTAGAAGATATTTCACTTGTGGGTTTTAAAGTTATGAGTGACTGAAAACTCACATCATCTGTTTTTGGCAAATAGTTTTCTTTAGGCTTAGCTTTCATGCCTAAAAAGAAAAAAAACAATATAATTAAAATCTCTTTTATTTTACTTAACTTGAGTAAACTAAAGAGTTCAGACTAAAACCTATATAAGCAATTTTTGCTATTTTGTCTCAATGCATTCCTGGAAACTGTGTTGTAAGTAATTATGACAATAATTATTAACAACATGTTACAAAATATTTTCTTCTAGAAACAATGTTATAATCAAATTCTTTTCCTTACAGAGTTCTGGGAAATAAAGAAAATGCATTTATAATCCAAAATATATCACATATACAATTTGCTCAATAAATGATTGGTGTAATTACTATTATTAACATTTGGTTAAGTTATCAGACACAAATGAGAATGGTTTACTCTCGGCTTTTCAGCTTCAAAAGGAAGTAAGTCAAGACAAAGAAGCAAGTGTATAAGCCTTAATCTTATATGGAACTTTCAGCAAAATTTAGACAATATAGTTTCAAATAGAACAGACAGCTCCTCTACATCTGTGTGTGGCATAAATAGCTATCAAATAAAGATACTTACTTTTCTTTTTCTTCTCTTTAATTTCTAACTTTTGTTTTTGGTAAACAGCAACTATCTCAGGAAAAGCTGCTTCAAATAATGATTCTTCTTCTATTGTTTGTAGAACTAATTCTCCATGATCATCTTCTATAGCATAATGTTCTAAAAGATTAAAAGTACAGTAAAACAGCCTTAATTATAGATTTAAAGAATTCAAATTTTCCAAGTAACTAAACTACCAGTTAAACTAAGTAATTCACAAATGAATACTTTATTGTAAATCTTGCTTTACAACTCTACTCTTTTTTTTTTTTAATATGTTTAATTTTTTTTTTAGGGAGAGAGAGAGAGAGAGATAGAAACATCGTTGAGAGAGAAACACTGATGACTGCCTCTTGCATACCCCTTACTGGGGATTGAGCCTGTAACCCAGGCATGTGCCCTGACCGAGAACTGAACTGGTGACCTCTTGGTCCATGGGTCAACACTTAACCAATGAACCATACCGGCTGAGCACAACTACTCTAATAATTTATTGATTCTGGTACAGAACTTATTTTCTTTCGCCTGACAAGAGCTGAAAGATTATGTTTAAATCAGAACTTTAAATTCTCTTGCTCTAGAGATGGTAGAAGCAGCTCAGAGGATAAAAATCTTTGTTTAGGTAAGGTTAGTTGGTTTTAGGCTAGTATAATCACTGTTAAAATTCCAGATAAAGAATGGGAATAGACAGTTGACTAAAACTTCAATATTAACTTTCTTTAGTGGTGGCTTCTGAAAAGAACAGGGTTGAAAAGGTCATCAAAAATATGACAGTAGTTTCCTTTCTATTCAGAGGATACAGTCTGAGACCTACAGTGGATACATGAAGCCATGAATAGTATCAAACCCTATATAGTTTTTTCCCTATACATACATACTTATGATGAAGTTTAATTGATAAATAGAAACAGTAAGAGATTAACAACAATAACTAATAATAAAATAGAACAATTATAACAATATACTATAAAGTTATATGAATGTGGTCTCTTTTTCTCTCTCAAAATATCTTCTTGTAGTGTACTCACTTTTTCACTTAAAGGAAGCACTTTACAGCTTCTCTTTGGCATGTCCAAATTGCCAGCATCACTAGTCTTGTGCCTTGGGGCCATTATAAGTAAAGTAAGGGTTACTTGAACACAGCCACTGCCATACTGTGATAGTCAATCTGATGACCAAGATGGCGGATATACAGCACGAATACGTTGGACAAAGGAATGCTTCATATCCCAGGGGGGACAGAGCAGGAAAGCACAAGATTTTATCAGGAAGGCACATAATTTAACACTTATGAATTGTATATTTCTGGAATTTTCCATTTAATATTTTTGAACCACGCTGACTGCTGGGGTAAAACCACAGAAGGTGCAACCACTAACAGGGTTTCTACTGTACTATTTTCCAGAAGTTATCAATCTCTTGAATATCTACCCAGTAGACTCATAAGCAGCTGATAAATGAAAATGAGAATGCACATATGTAAAATCTCAACAAGATATAAAAGGAGCAGACTAGATTTTTGCATTTATCCTACATGGGGGCATAACTGCATGAGAAGTGAAACTACTGAGATTATGAGTTGATAAGTTTAAAGTAGAAACAATAGAAACAGGTGAATTTAAAGTGTTTCTCAGTTAAATTAGGTTGGGGTACATGTTCTCCCTTAAAGGACAGCTCCCACAAGGATAAGTGAAAGTGAGCACCCAATCCTCAGTTCTAGACAGAGACCTGTACAGCCAAACCGGGTTAAGGCACTTTCTTTCCTGAAAATAGACTAGTTAGTGGAACTGTTCCTAAACAGCTTTCAACTGTCTTCAGCTTTCTTTTTACCTATTATTGCTTAGAAGGATTTATCTAATTCTTTATTAACTTCATTATTCAAAGTTACCTACAATTTAAACCTTCATTGATAAATCTACTCTCTCACTCATTCACCTATAATCACACAATATAATCTCAACACCAAATAGAAGTGAAACTAAGATTATTTTCCATTTAAATAATCTATGCTTTTCTTGCCTTTGGTTTTGGGGCTAATTCAAAAAGCTTACTGTATTTCTGTCTGTAGCAAAAATAAGAGTTAAGACAACTATAAATTCCCATGAAAACGGAAGAGTAAGAAAAAAAGAGGAAGAGCACCCCACATGCCATTCAGCAACTTTGATTTCTCTTTTTTTTGTTAATCATCCCCCGAGGATTTTTTCCCCCCATTGATTTTTAGATAGAGTGGAAGGGAAGGAGGGAGAGGGAGAGGGGAGAAAGAGAGAAAAAGAGACAGAGACAGAAAGAGAAATAGAGACATTGATGTGTCTTTCTCACACTGAGTGGTTGCCTCCTCATGTGCCCCGACTGGGACCATGGATTGAACCTGCAACCCCGGTACGTGCCCTAGATTGGGAATTGAACCTGTGACCTTGCAGTGCACAGGCCAACGCTCCAACCACTGAGCTATATAATATTTGGTAAACACGTATGGTGAAATGTTAGAAATTTTGCTTAAATTGAATACATACCAGGCTTTTCCCATTCTACTTCAAAGCAATGAACTCCATTTCTGATCCGGTTTTTAACAATTCTGAAAAATGAATTCATCTAATGAGGTCAAATTTCATGAGTTCTTTGGAAGTTTTCAATTTGTAGACTGAATAGTTCAATTTCCACTGATTTTTATCATATTTAAGGAATTACCACAGTTATTCTTCGACTAATGTATTCAAAAGATACTTTTATTGTTTGGTATATAGAGCTTATAATTATTAGATCCTGAGTAGACTGTTCTTTTCATTATTATTCAGTGTATCACTTTTGCAAAATAATAACTTTTGTTTTAAAGTCTATTTTGTTTCTGTTAATTTTGCTACAACATTTTGGTAAATATTTTCCTGGTAAATCTTTTAAATATCTTTATTTTCAAACTTTGTGTAGTTAGCTATATTCAGTACATTGTCTATAAGCTGAATATTGTTGAATTTTGTTTACTTGTCCAATATAATGTTTTTAATAGATGAGGTTAATCCTCTTACATTTATTATGATTACTAACATAATAAAACTCATTTGTATCTCTTATTTTGTTTTCTGTTACCAACCTTTTTCTTTGCTTTGCTACTTTCCCCTTACTATATTCTTCTGGTTTGACAGTCTTTTTTTTTTTAAATCCTTATCCGAGGATGTTTATTGATTTTAGAGAGAGAGGAAGGGGATAAAAACATCAATGTGAAATATCAATCAGTTGCCTCCTGAACACGCCCTCACTGGGGATCAAACCCGAAACCTGACTGAGAGTCAAACCCGCAACTTTTTTTTTTTTTGTACAGACAGAGTGGGAGGGAGAGAGAGGAAGAGAGAGAGAGAAACATCAATGTGAAAGGGACACATCGAGTGGCTGCCACCCGCACGACCAACCAGGGCCGAGGACAAACTGCAACCAAGGTACATGCCCTTAGCAGGAACCGAACCCGGGTCTCTCCGGATCGCAGGCGGGCGCTCTAACCATTGAGCCAAACCAGCCAGGGCCAAACCCGCAACTTTTTAGTGGACGGGATGGTGCTCCAATCAACTAAGCCACCCGTCCAGGGCTTGGTTTGATAGTTTTATATTCCAATTTTATGTGTTGGTTAGGAAAATAGAGGTTGTATTTCTAATGTTTTAGTCATTACCCTTGTATGTCCACATGTATACTTTGGAAGTTTTAATTTATGATGATATTTTAATCATCAAGCATTATGCAGATAACTATGTATATATTTTTCCAGTCAGTTTATTCAATTAGCTATGTTTTCTCAATTTTTATGCTGACCACTATTTCTAGTTATCTACTTCTTCCCCCTGGGTTCAGTTTTCTTCCTGCTGAATGAAGTACATCCTTTAACAGTGCTTTTAATGAGGATCTGTGAGTGGTAAACTCTTAGTCTTTATATGTCTGAAAATGCCTTAGCAACCAGTGAATAATATTTTAATGATATCTAGGTTGCCAATTATTTTTACTCAAAGCTTTTGAAATAATATTCCATCATGTTCTGGCATCTATTACTGTTATGAAAGATATATGCCACCTGATTGTCTTTTTTGTAGTTTATCTTTTTTCTTTGATACTTTCCCCTCAACTTTTAACTTTGAAAGTTTCAAACCTTTAGAAAAGTTGCAAGAATAGTACAAAGATCACTCACATAGTCTTCACTGAAATTTACCAATTTTGTTTTAGTCCCTCTATTCACTTTTTTTTTTTTTAATCCTCACTCGAGGACATCTTTCCATTTTTTGTTCAGATAGAGCGGGAGGGAGAGAGAGGAAGAGAGAGAGAGAGAAACATCGATGTGAAAGGGACACATCGAGTGGCTGCCACCCGCACGACCAACCAGGGCCGGGGACAAACTGCAACCGAGGTACGTGCCCTTAGGGGGAACTGAACCCGGGTCTCTCTGTACCGCAGGCCGACACTCTAACCGCTGCGCCAAACCGGCCAGGGCTCTATTCACTTTTTTTTTATTCCTTTTCTGGTCCACTGAAATAATTATCTGGTTAATCCTGGCTATATCTTTTTATAGTATTTCTTTCTTTTAATAATCCATTATCACTCTGTGTTTGAAATGGAAAAGTATGTCAGAGCATGAAGTTATCTTGACTGTAAGCCCCGAATAACCTTTTATTATTCCAGTAGACCTTTCCTCTATCTTTATAAAGATATTAAGAAGAAAATTTCAGATCGTAAGATATTCAAATACAAACATGGAAACTTCTTCAAACAATTCATACCGAATTGGCTGTAGTTGATTAGAGTTCCTTCTACCAAGTCTCCTTTCTGTCATGTCATAGTGGGTCAAAAGTACCAACAATTTGTCACATGCATAGTGATTGGGCCACTCCATTTTTTCAAGAGTAAATCTCTGTGAATGTAATAAAAATGAAACAAGGTTTTCTTATCTCTTAGAGACAAATAGCACTCAGGTAACATTATTTTTTCCTTCAGAAGTAACACTAGTTAAGGTGGTATCACTGGAAGAACAAGGAGCCTCCTAAGGAGGCGATACTGCATAATAATGAAGTGTGAGGGTTCTCCATTTGAATGCCAACATATTTCCTAGGGTAAATTACTTAACCTCTCTTAGCATCAGTTTTCCTTAGGTAAAATATAACCCACCTCACAGATCATGAAGATGAAGTGATTATTGCATGTTAAATATAATAGCAAATTTTAAATGTTCAATAAATGTTGGTTACCATTATTATTTCTGTTGGTAGGAATAAGCAACAAGTAGTTGTAACCACTCTTATCCTTTCTTATCTTTCTACTATCCAACTTCATACTGTAAAGAATTTATTTTCAGATACCTGAAACAATAATAAATCAGGTCTTTGGTACCTGACTGCCTTTATCAATTTATCCCTGTTCAAAAGGAATTCTTGAATAACCTAGCAAGAGAAAAGAAAATACAAACTGAGACTTCAAACTTTTAAAAAAGCTTCTGAAATAAATACACTTGAATTACTAGTCATTACCTCATGGAATGGGAATCCCTCACAACTGCAAGCTTTTCTGAAAATAAATTATATATATATATGTTATTAATACAATCAGACTCAAACCATCTCATGTAGTCTCCCCTCATTTAATGAAAAATATCCTTGTATAGTACCCCGGTCATCAAGTTTCACTTTGAATAACTATTAAATTACCATCTCCTGAGATGACCTAATTTTTTAACCGAATCAAGAAAAGGATTTTGTGAAATGTTACTAATTTAGACAAGGGGAAGGTTATACGGAAATAATTTAACAACATGTGTACAAAATAGGTCATGTCAGAAAATAATGAGTTAAAAAAACAAAACTTACTTCTTAATATTATTCTCTACTGCAATCAGTTGCCTATCATTCTCTGTTCGGTGCCACTCACAGGGACAACAGTATTCATAATCATGTGGTTCACAGTATCGATCAGACTGACATAATTTGCATCCATTACGTTCATGATCCTTAGGTGAACCTTTAGGAGGATACAAAAAAGGGTAATTTTCACTACTTTTTAGAATTATCTTCTACATGTACTTTTTTCTTGTTCTTATCCAATTTTTTAAAAATGCATAATGCCTAACTTATAGAAGGGTTTCAATACATTTAGGATGAATAGAGTGATTCTTAAGGTGAAGCAGATCATAAGCTATTACTATCACGACACTTTTTTCTTTCTGTAAATTCCTCTTCTATCTGAAAGCATTCATTAGTAATTCGAAATTATACATTCATAATAATCAACAATAAAAAACTGTGGGTAATTTGATAACTAAGTGAAAGTAAAGTAGGCTATAATTATTAGTATTATGAAAGATTATTTACTTAATAGAATAATTCATGAAATGGCTTCTATAATCAGAATATTAAAAGAATACAGCAATTATCTCTTCTAGTATCCAGCTCTTTGTTGCCTGTATAACTATTTTTAAACTATTCTTGGAACACGAACAAATTATGACTGTGACAAGGGTGTGGGGCCAGAGGTCCCTTTAAAAGGAAAGCATGAACACTTTCAACATTGTTTTGAGAATACAGAAGAGAATAAATAATTGATATGTCCTAAAATTGTCATTTATAAGTTATCTAGAAACTATAGAATAGAAACTTATCTATAAAAATGTTTTTATTCCTGCCCGGCCAGTGTGGCTCAGTGGTTGAGTGTCGACCCATGCACCAGGAGGTTGCTGGTTTGATTCGTGATTAGGGCACGTGCTCAGGTTGTGGGCCAGATCCCCAGTGGGGGGCATGCAGGAGGCGGTCAATCAATGTTCTCTCTCATCGATGTTTCTATCTCTCTCTGTCCCTCTCCCTTCCTCTCTCTCTAAAATCAATAAAAAATAAATAAGTTAAAAAAATGTTTTTATTCCATGATTTCATCTATAATGTAACCATGTTAATGAAAACATACTAAGACAAATAAAGTAGAATTTCTTTTAAAAGATGACCTAACATGATCTCTTACTCTCTCCTGAGAGTGAAAAACCTTTCTAATCTACTACGTATCAGTGACATCATTTTTCTTTTCTTTTTTTGTGATACGTGCCCCTACCAGGAACCAAACCCAGGACTCTGTGGTCCGTAGGCCGATGCTCAACCGCTGAGCCAAACTGGCCAAGGCTTCTTTTCTTTTCTTTCTTTTAACTAAAACTAATGAACAGAAACCAAGCTATTTTCTATAATAATGAACATGTTTTAGAAATTAGTTTCAAGGCACTATCTTCACACAATAAAAATGTTACTACAGGACAATTAAGAACCATTATGTATATACATGTAAATGACTGATATAGAAACAAATAGTTTCAATTCCTTTTTCCCCTAAGACTGTTAGTATACTTTTCCCCTTAAAACAGATTTCTATATTAAGAACATAATTTTAAGATCTAAGTGATTGGGATTCATAGTTTGAAACTGCACTTACCCTATATTTATCATTTACATCACATTATTTCATTTAACTAACGTTTACTGAGTGGCTACTATGTATATATGACAACTCCTGATGCTGAGGACTCCCAATCTAGCAGGAATGATAATGTAAAATGTAACTATAAGAACAGGGATGAAAATGTGGGTATCCCACACTAATATTCCAAGGTATCATTACCTATGTCTGCTTACCTGGATGGAAACACACAGTGCAATGAGCCAGTTTTTTAATAACTAGTGGTTGTTGATTAGAGTAACAAGATTTTTCACTCCATTGAGTAAACCTTTAAAAGAAAATGGTTTTAAAAAGAAAGAAACAAACAAACAAAAAAAATCAAGGTCACCAAAATGCCATGTTCTCAAGTATCAGGTTATTCTGTTCCCTTTCACCTGACAATTTATTTTCCCTTTGGTGGTAAATAAAATTGCTGGCCTAGCCTGGGAAAACCCTCAATCTGTGTACCTCATTTATTTAAAAAAATTAAAAAAAAAAATATTTTTAAACTTTTATCGATTTTTAGAGAGGAAAGGAGAAGGAGATACATAAACATGAGGGCGAAACATCAATCAGCTGCCTCCTGCACGTGCCCTACGGGGGATCTAGCCCACAAACCAGCATGTGCCCTTACCTGGATTTGAACCAGCAACATTTTGGGTGCATGGAAGGATGCCCAACCAATTGAGCCTCACTGGCTAGGGCTGCACCTCAATTTTTAAATGTGGCTCCAAGGACAGAATTACAATAAGGGAAGAAAAACAACATCAGAGACAAGGAGAGGGAGAGGAAAGGAAAGAGCATGTGTGTGTGTATTCATATACTTATTCAGCATTTTTTTAAAAAAACAATCAGCACTTAGGCATAGATGTAGGGCAGCGGTTCTCAACCTCTGGGTCGTGACCCCTTTGGGGGTCGAATGACCCTTTCACAGGGGTCACCTAAGACCATCGGAAAACACGTATTTCCGATGGAAATTCATAACAGTAGCAAAATTACAGTTATGAAGTAGTAACGAAAATAATGTTATGGTTGGGGGTCACCACAACATGAGGAACTGTATATTAAAGGGTTGCGGCATTAGGAAGGTTGAGAACCACTGATGTAGGAAGAATGATTTGTACGAATCTGTTTTTGATATCTTTTCTAAATGCCAGAGTATAAAACAAACAGAATTATGTACATGAACACTTCTATGTATCAAAATAAGGGTGAAGGACAAAGTATAAAACTAAATAAAACTTTAAGCTTCTGGGTTAAAAACTGTTCAAAAAAATATAGATCATTTGAAATTGTTGTTTTCTTAATCTCTTATGCAGACAGCAAAAACACTACTTGTTTAATGAAAGATTTTAAGAAAATATATATTACTGCTAAAATGTCTACTAAATAAAAGTTAATTTTTGGCTAAAGTTCCATATCAACATAAAACTACCAAGAGGACAGTTAAACATTATCATAAAACATGAGGTCTGAATTGTTCCTTTACTTACAGAAGTTAAAGTTCTAATAAAAAGTTAAATTAGCTCTTCAGTTCACTGTGTAGTAACTGGCACTAAGACTTATTATTTAGCTGTGGGAATTTATAACTCATATACTATAAAGACCAAGTAAAGCTTGCTAAGAATTAGCATTAATTGCTGCTGACTGATGGAAAATAACAGAGCTTCAAATGTTAAAAATAAACAGGGGGAAACTCAGTCTAAGTTAATCAAAATTAAAACAACATAATCATAACAAAAAATGTAACTTCATTATTTTCAAATGTTAGGACCAAAATTTAATAAAATGTTTCCAAAAGTACAAAGTTATTGAAACTGTTTCAATAAGGATGATTTGTTGTTAGCCCAGGACCATATTTGCTTTTATATCTTCTTCGTATTATTTTTTACAATTCCCAAATAATTCCTTCACTTACCTCCATGCCAAAGTATACATTTTTGTCCTACTTTGGCATAGTAATCACTGATATCAATAATACATTTATTAAAGGCTTAAATCTATCAACAGCTTTATAGCTGAACGAGAAGTATTACAGGAAAGAACACAGTGATTTGAGATTGTTTCCATGGTCATTCCTTCCTGATTTCTACAACCAACGTTTCCCTTCACCCACTCACCATTTCAAACCTAACTGGAGCCAAGACTGGTTTAAGTCTTCAGTGTTCTCATTCTTTCCTTCAGTCACTCTATTTTGTCACCATTAATATTAATTTCTATAAACCACTGCTTTCATCAAACAAATATAATCCATGTAATTTCAAAACTAAATAGCATAGTTTATAAATTTCAATGTATTCTGTATCTTACTTTAAATTGTACAGTCTAAATTAATTTCAATTATGTATGAGTAAATGTATGGTTATAGAACAAAGGGAAGCCAAGTAAAAATTTTGACTTCTAAGTGTTATTATTAAATATTTATAAGATGTCAGGTGTTTCATTTATAAAAATAAAATCAATATCAAAGTATTTTATCTAAAAAATAATTTTAAGGATAAAATTGTTTTAATGTTATATTATCTTTACTTGGTGGTAAAATAGTCTAAAATAGCCTATGGCAAATGCCCATGGTTATAAATAAATGCATTTGTCATTTACTACTTGTGTTTATAGTGAGCTAATACTATTGAAAAAAATATAGTATAACTTAGGATATACAGGGGTGGGCTTACAGTTGTGAGCATGCAATACAAAATTTATTCTTGTATTATTAATTATTGTATTATTTTCCATAAGAACTGTAGACCTACTTTTGCCCAACCCTGTATACTCTCATCTCTTTGGAGAACTTCAGATAAATAAAAAGTGATTTCAAATAAAATATGAATCAGTTTAAAAATACAAAACCCTTTTTGGAAAGCATAATACTTTTTATAATATTCAGTATCAAATTCAACAATAAAAGTCTAATGTCACAAGAAAACTTAATTTTTAGTTACCTCTGAAGTAAACTTTGCCCTTTCAAAATCTTTATAAGTTTTAATGCTTGCTCTTTTCCAACTCCAGGGACTCCCTTTCAGGAAGTGGGAAAAGAAATTCAAATGTTAATCACTAGAAAATGAATAAAGTACAGTAAGTCCATTCAATAGAAGACTGCACACCTGAAAGAATGAGGCAATTATGTAATGACAGGAAAAGATGTCCAAAATACATCGCTGTGAGAGAGATGAAAACCCAGAATAGCCTATAGTGTAAGTAAAACAACAATTACATTATAAATCTATGCAAAAGAAAAAAGTCAAAGACTTATATACGAAACCACTGACAGGGTTTATTTTAGGGGTAGGAAGAACAGAAATTGAGAGGGCGTTCACTTCCTTTGTTAATTATTTGAATATTTATTTTTACCTAACTTTATGTTATATTGATAATCAGGAAAAAGTATGTTCATTTAGAGATATGAACATTTAATTTTTAAAGACCCGGATGTGAAAAGAGAACAAACGAGTTCCAAGTTAACCCTTGAAATTAACAACTTAAGAAAATTAAAACAAGCTTCAACCCAGTAATTATATTCACACAACAATTTCTGGTTTAAGTTAAGTCTTCCAGTTCCTATAAAAGTTTATGAGTATGTTCTTATAAGCAAGGCTGCTATTTAATCCATATGCACTGGGACAGACACACCAGATTTAAAATACTCTCCAAACATCCTGAGTACCTGCTGGCAAACCTTCTAACTGGAATACCATTCCCAACCCACCAAGATCCTGCTACTAAAATAGTAGCACATGGCACAACAGAAGGCAACCACAAACCTATGTCTTTGGCTTACTAATGTCAAATATTTTGTCTATTACCCTTTCTGTATTAGACTTTAGCTCCATCTTAACATTTTTTAAGACAAATCATTAGTATACAGTCTTAACAATCTTTAAGTAAACAATATAAATAGGTGGCAGTTTTGGTTACAAAGGATATAAATGTTCAAAATAGCTCGGGATAATGCATAATGTTAACACCACTACAGTGTACATTAGTGGTTTCTGAGTTTGCCAATTTTTTCTTACATTCAACATTGGGCTACTTCTAGTTTTTAAGATATAACAATTACATAAGGAAAATAGAACTTTCCTATTTCAGAATTACAATTATAATAAAATAATTACTTTTTGTGTTATTTAAAAGTTTCACGCAGCTGGTGTGGCTCAGTGGTTGAGCACTGACCCATGCATCAAGAGGTGACTGGTTCAATTCCTAGTCAGGGCACATGCCCAGGTTGTGGGCCAAGTCCCCGGTGGCAGACAATCAATATTCTCTCTCATCGATGTTTCTCTCTCCCTCTCCCTTCCTCTCTCTCTAAAATCAACAACAACAACAACAAAAACAAGAAAAATTTAAAAAAAAAAAAAAAAAGTGTTATTCCTCCTGCTTCCTTCACTTTCTAGTTTTTTTTTAATCCACACCCGAGGATATTTTTTCCCATTTATTTTCAGATAGAGCAGGAGGGAGGGAGGGGCGGAGGGAGGGAGAGAGAGAGAGAGAAACATCGATGTGAGAGAGACACCTGGAGTGGTTGCCTCCCACACAACCCCAGCCAGGGCTGGGGATGAACTGCAACCAAGGTACGTGCCCTTAGCTGGAATTAAACCTGCGACTCTTTGGTCTGAGGGCCGACACTCCAACCACTGAGCCATACTGGCCAGGGCTACTTACTAGTTTAAAAAAAAATGATTTCTCCATCTGGTCACTGAGGAAATAAATTAGAAATTAGAGTTAATAATTTGACTTCCCTGGTATTTATTCCTCTCTCCTAAGCTCCAGCTAAAATAAATTATATGTCCTCCTTCTCTAGATGTCTCGTGGGAATACAGTATACTGTATAGTATAACGAGGGATTCAGTAAGAAGAGATGATCAGCCCTGGCCGGTTTGGCTCAGCGGTTGGAGCATCGGCCTGCAGACCAGAGAGTCCTGGGTTCAGCTCCTGCTAAGGGCACGTACCAAAAAAAAAAAAGCATCAACTGATAAATGCATGAATAAGTGGAACAACAAATGGATGTTTCTATCTCAAATCAATAAATAAAAATTAAAAAAAAAAAAAAAAAAAGAAGAGATGATCAGTCGGGACATAATAATGGGACTACATAATAAGGGCTACAATACAAGACATTTCATATTTTTAAATATAGTATTTAAGAATAGAGTTATCCTTGTAATTCTTAATTCATCACTTACTTATTATACCTGTTTGTTAGAGTACTATATTGTGCATCTTAAGATATAAATAAAAGGTTTTCTGAACAAAATTGAATGTGATGCTAAGAGGCATGGAAAGATGAATGGCTTACCCCACTAATCATGTAGCCTAGCAACAGTGATAACAACACTGAGCATGCGCACAGCTGGAAGCTAAAGACTGAAAACCAAACAACAGATAAAACAGTGATAGAAACTAACATTGGTATGATACAAGAAGAGTAATTCCTTTATTTCTTTTAAAGAATAGTTGAATTTGAATATGAATCTCATTTTTTTAAAAAATGTATTTCTATTGATTTTCTTAGAGAGAAAGGAAGGGAGAGACAGAAACATTGATGTGAGAGACACATCGATCGGCTGCCTCCTGCATGCCCCCTACCAAGGATTGAGCCTATAACCCAGGCATGTGCCCTGACCAGGAATCAAACCAGGACCTCTCAGTCGTGGGACAACACTCAATCCACTGAGCCACACTGGCCCAGCAAATGTGAATCTCTTAAATCTAGGGCAATGTTTTATTGAGTTTCAAGCTGTGATAATAGTTATCATTCTATTTTCATTTATAACCTTCAGTGTCATAATGAGTCAGCTTTTTAATGCTAGTTGAAATACTATTTTAGTTATTAAATAGTTTATTATGCCTAAAATTACACTCAAAATTAGATTCTTAATCATATAACCATTATATTCATATTTATGCAGATTGTAAGGAACAAAAGACACACTATGAATAGTAAATAAACACAATTTCAGTGTACCTTTGGAAGATAATCACAGCCAAGTAGTATTGCCAGTCCAACCAGTGCATCTCTATCCAAACCTAGTTTACTCTTGATAGATGACATTGTATAACAGTCAACATGTGGATCCTATAAGAAAGTACAGGTCTGTTTAATCTTTAAAAAGTAAATATTTATACATTAAACATTACAAAAAATATGTCCAATGTGTCTAAATGTTTAATTATTCCTAAAAGTTTAAATTGAAAAATTATCCTGATCACCAGACTATTCATAGAATCTAATACTTCAATATCTGGAAATAAAGTCACAGTTTCAAAAATGGCTAACCATTTTAGTATTCATGTTTTTCCTCTTTATTGCTTAAAAAAAATTTTTTTTTAGAGAGAGACATAGAAACATCAATGTGAGAGAGAAACATCAATCAGCTGCCTCCTGCATGCCCCACACCAGGGATAGAACCCGCCACCCAGGTATATGCCCTGACTGGAAATTGAACTGGAACCTCTCAGTCCTTGGGACGACGCTTGAGCCACACCGGTCGGGCTCTCTATTGCTTTTTGATGTACACAAAAGTAAATTTTCATCTTAAAAAATTAAACACTGTAAAATGTATATTACTCAAAGAAAACATTCCCTATAATTGCATCTTCTAAAGTTAACATTAATAGTGTGGTGCATATTCTTCTAAAATAACTTTTCTTTAACACACATACACAAATATTTATTAACTATATTTTAAGCCCTGGCCAGTTTGGCTCAGCAGTTAGAGTGTTGGCCCGTGTACCAGAGACCTGGGTTCAGTTCCCGCTGGGGGCTCGTACCTTGGTTGCAGTTTGTCCCCGGTCATGGTGGAGGTCGTGTGGGTGGCGACCAGTTGATGTGTCTCTCTCGCGTCTATGTTTCTCTCCATCTCTTCCTCCCTCTCTCCCTCCCCCTCTATTGGAAGATAAATGTGAAAATGTCCTTGGGTGAGGATTAAAAAACAAACAAATAAAAACTATATTTAAGTAAAACAGGATTATATAAAAGAACAATTTTGCAACATTTCTTATCTACTAATATGGCTGCATATTTTAATGTTAATATTACATGCAATTTTAATAACTGCTTACTCTCACATTATATCGACTCTGAGGCAGTGTTTCTCATTGGGGACACTACTATTAGCATTTTTGGAGAGATAACAGAAATGTCTGACAAGAAGTTTAGCTTTCCTGGCTCCATTCCACCAAATGTCTATAGTTTGTTTCCCTAGTCCCACCTAGAATAGTTGTAAGCATAACATCCCCTAGTAGTACCTTCCTAGATGAGAACCATGGCTGTGTTTAACTATTCTCTATCCATGGGCATTAGGGTTGTTTGTCAAATTTTTATAATTATTGACAATGCTGCAAATAACATCCTTGTATATTTCTCCTTGCACATTTTGGAGGCATTTTTGAGCATAAATTACTAAAAGTAGAAATTCTGGGTCAAAGCAATAAATTTCATATGCAATTTTATAATATACTAATAAAACAAATTTATAATTAAAGTATGTGAAACAAGTCAAGTCCTTAAGAGAAATCCATATTTCAAAGAGAATGAACTATGTGGCAATATTTAGTAACAGCAAGCATTTTACTTAGCCATTGCTATGTGACAGGCATTGTGGTAAGCATTTTATATGCATTTTTTTTCATTTAATCATTTAATAATCCCTTTAAAAAATTAGTTTGTAAAATAAATGCTGATAAAGAGAAAGAAAAAATACCTTGGTATTCATAGTGAAATTCCTATAAACAGTCTGGGCCCCATAGAGGAAAGCATCTCCATCATTGGTGAGGCAGCCGTCCACATAACCACTGGCATCGAGGTAGGCACACATGGCTTCAGCTTCCCCAGCAGCTTGGACCCAGGGAATTCCTAAGCATTCCAGCAATTCAAGACACTGAAAAGAAAAAACAGAAGTCTTGAAATCTGGAACTTTTTTATTGCTAATTTTTTTCAGTGTTTAACTTACTTTTCTACATATAAATATTAACAGTAGCTATTTAGGTGTTTTACAAATTATGATACTTCAGAAACAATCGAAAATGCGAACACTGAATATTTTATGGCATTAAAGAATGATTGCTAAACTTTCAGGTGTGATAATTTTATTGTGGTCATTTTTTATTTTATTTTTTAAGAGTCCTTATCTTTTAGACAAAGGTACTGAAATATTGAAAGTGAAACAGTATTATATCTGGAATTTGCTTCAAGAAAATGTGGGAATAGGGGAGTAGGGTGATAGATAAAACAAGACTGGCCAGGAGCTAATAATTGTTTAAGATTGATAATGGGTTAATTTTTTATTGTTTTAAAATTTTCTGTAATGAAAAGTTAAATACTTTTAATGCTGATTAAGTAATCCATATTTACTTTAAACAAATTTAAAAATTACTTTAAAAAAAGTAATGAACATTTAATGTTCATTATTTTGCTTAGTGGTATCTCAAGATTCTGGAAATATCTTTAAGTGATTAATAATTAATCAAATTAAGATTTACTTCTGTAAAACTACAAACATTCTGCTCACATGATGGTCAACCTAATATGGTCTTCCAAAGAAGACACTATTACACAGTTCTGGAAGTTCTCTTTTCCTCATATCATCTCTTCCGTATAATGAAACTCTCAGATGGTAGGAAACCACAGAGGGGTCAGTTGTTGATGTGTTCCCAGGAAGTCAAGTGTCTGTACAGGATGTTCCTATTAATTTGCTGATGCATAAATAATCCTCTGTGATTTTTTTGGGGATTAAGAATTTAACCCAACCGAGCAGTGTATAGTATAGTACTATATCCTAGTGTATTCTTTCTTGTCATGTATAATTCTCAAATTCAAGCACTGGGGAATACTCGGTATGGTGAAGAAGCGAGGCAACTGTAGTTTATAGAGATTGATAGAGTAAATATCTCTTTTGCTTTAACTGATCAATTGCTTGCATGCTATTACATAAGAAAAATCTCTGCCAGATGTTATCCAACGTGGACAAAGTTCAAAAAAACAAAATACTATGTTGACAGAAAGGGTTCTTTTCAGGAGAGTTTTGTTACAGACACTGTTTTATTGTAACACCATAGTTGCTTTGACCTTCCTCTAAATATCCTTTCATAATAAACAAAAGAGTTTGAAATTCACTTAAGATTCCTGTGCCACTTGTCATTCTCTTTTCAAAAACCAGCACAGAATTTGTGATGAGGCTGGTTGTAAATTTCCATACCCTAAGTGTCTGTCACATAGGGTGGACATGGTGTTGAAAGAAGACTAATTTGTGCTTTTCATGCTTATAACTAAAAGTTGGCAGTAGATTGGGAGGAAGTAGGGCCTAGTACTGAGGATACAGAAATGTAAAAATGATGCCCTGGCCAGTTTCACTCAGCAGTCAGAGCATCAACCATCGGACCAAAGAGTCTCAGGTTAGTTTCCGGTCAAGGGCACATATCTTGGTTGTGGTTCAGTCCCTGGCTATTGCTTGGGGTCGTGCGGGAGGCAACCAATCAATGTGTCTCTCTCACATCGATGATTGCCCCCCCACACACTCTATCTAAAGAAATATGAAAAGGAATAATGGGGCAAAATGCCTAAGAACACCCAAATTACTGCAATAAAGAAATAAGAATGGAATAACTACCCAAAAAGAGATGGTTATCTTTTTGCTTTATACTGGGTATTTAATGCTCTAAATATGTGGAGCATGGTTATATCCAAGAAATGATTACAGAAGAAATAATTAGAATCCAATACAGATATTTTCTTCATTTATCAATAGTCATTAAGGTGGAATAGTCAGTAACAAAAAACTATTTTTCAAAAATCAACTAGGAGCCCTAACCAGATGGCTCTGTTGGTCAGGTGTTGTCCCCCATGCACCAAGGGGTTGTCAGTTTGATTCCCAGTGGTGGTGGAGGGTGGGGGGAAGGTGGTGGTGCAGGAGGCAGCCAATGGATGTTCTGCTCTCACATTGATATTCTCTCTCCCTCTCCCTTCCTTTCTCTCTAAAAATCAATAAACATATTTTTAAAAAATCAGCTAATAAAAAATATAATTTCAAAATGATTATTAATTTATGCAATGCCTTTTAAAAAATAAAATTTTTAATAAAAATTAAAAAGAAAAACAAGGATATGATTAAAAGCTAATATAAGAAGTTTATATCCTAAATATATAAAAAACTTGAACAACGACAAAAAATTAAAACCTCAAGAAATAAGTGGGGCAAAGACATGATGGCCATTATCCTCTGAGGGACTAAATTAGGTTAAGTGTTCAACCTCAGCATTAAAAGTCCAATATATATTAAATATCTATTTATGTATTTATATGTATTACATAAACAAAAAAAGATCTTTGATTTTGAATACTAAATAATAGAAAGTTAAAACTCCTATCATTCAATGTTCTTGTGGGTACACTGATATTGCTTATATTATATTTATACTGGTAGAAAGTAATTGGTAAGAGCTATGAAATCATCCCTAATTTTGGTCTATCCATCCCACTTAAATCACAAGAAAAATTTACGTACACAAAAAATACTCATCATAACTTCACATATAATGGAAGAGCTGAAAAGTATCAATATATACAATTATGGGGATTGATTTCATAGCCTCTTACATGTTGGATAATCATTATAACAGAATGTGGCAACAGGGAAATATGGGTAAAAGTGAAAAGTCTAAGATAAAAATTATTACCCTGGCTGGCATGCTCAGTGGTTAGAGCATTAGCTCATGCACTGAAGGGTTGCAATTTCAATTTCCAGTCAAGGGGACGTGCGTGGGTTGCAGGTTTGATCCCTGGCCCCAGGGGCACGAGTGGGAGGCAACCAATCCATGTGTTCCACACTGATGTTTCCCCCTCTCTCATTTGTCTCTCCTCCTCCCTCCCTCCCGTTCACTCTCTCTAAAAATAAATGGAAAAAATATCCTTTGGTGAGGATTAACAACAACAAAAATAATAAAGCAAAATAAAAATTATTAATACACTATTATGGCAAGTTTTAAAAATATAAACATTTGAAAAAGACAAAATAATAGTAGCTTCCTATTGTTTTTATTTGTGGACAGTTTCCAAACTTTTATAAAAATATGCAATATTTTATAAATAATATATAAATATATTAAAATACAAGAATAAGTACTTTTAAACATTACAAAGGCCCAAGGAAAGCTAAATATGTCTTCAATATATGAACAATCATCAATCCTGAATAACTGAAGTATGAATTAATGAGATCTCTGTTCTGGGAATTCCTTTTTTTAAAATATGTTTTTACTTATTTATTTTTTTAGAGAGAGAAGAAAGGAGAGAGAAATTGAAACATCAATGTGTGAGAGAAACATCAATCAGCTGCTTTCTGCATGCCAACCACCAGGGATCGAGCCAACCACCTGGGAATGTGCCCTGACCAGGAATTGAACTGGGACCATTCAGTCCATGGGACGACACTCAGTCTACTGAGACACACAGGCCAGGCTGTTCTGGGAATTCTTTTAGTGGTAACATGTATCAAGTTCCTACTATATACTAGTTACTTTAGATAGTATTTAGATAGTTTCTCTCATTTTTACCACATCCCTGCAAAGTATTACTATCCTTATTTCATAGAATAGGAAATGAAGTAAATATAAATTAAACACCTTAGAGTTTCAAGATGCCAAAGCCAGGACTTGACCTTGGGTCATTTCACTCCAAAATATAAACTCTCTTCTCCATCCGCACTGGTCTGCTATATATAATAAGGTTAGTGAGTATTAAAGGTAATTGTATAACAACCTTTACCAAAGTAAAATGCTCTCTTAATTCAAATCAGAATTATTAAATCAGATCCAAATGCTCACCTCTCTTAACACTGATTTAAAATGTGATCTCCCTGTTTTCTGAGACCATGTTTTTCCAGAAGGCCCATACCGAATCTGATTCCTCTTGCTTATGACATCAGCTTTCAGCGCTGGGGGTTCCCCTTCCATAACAAATACCAGTTTTACATCCATTAGTGTTAAATGTGAGATACGAAAAAATAAGTTCCTGAAATATAAAAATTGGTAATGTATTAATCATCATATATTGATAGCAAAAGTCAACATAGCAGTATGGCTTTAATGGCAAGAACACTAGACTAGTACCTAAATGGTTGCATGCAAAAATATTTTATTTATACGATTTTAATTTCACTGGACTGAGAAATCACTGAATATTTATTTTTTGAATGTTCTTGAGCTAGATTTATGATTTTAATTGCTATGTGGAAAATGGTCTGGAGGAGGAGAGGCTAAGAGCTAAGGGAGGGAAGCCAGTGAAGATGTCACGTTAGCAGCACAGACGAGAGATGACGTTGGCATACACTAAGGTGGTGCCTCTGGACACTGAGAAAAGTTTATGAACAAACACAAAAGTTTATTTTGGAAGTAGAACTGCCAAGACTTCCTGATGGATTGAACATGGTGTGAGGTAAAACAGAGAGAGAATGGCTCCCAAAATTCTGGCTTATCATCACCAAGTAGATATGTTAAATAGGCAGCTAGATATGTGAGTCCTGAGCTTAGAAGGTAAGAGGTACAAATTCGTGAGTCATCAATATAGATGGCAGGTCTAGAAATGTTAATATATTTTAAAATTTCAAAACCGAGACACTGACTACTTATGCAATCATACATTTATATTCTAAGAACGTTTTACTGTACCTGAGGTGGGGCTTCATGACTGTTCCAATCATTTTTTTGACAGTCTGTGCTTCACATACCCATAGGCTCAGATCAACTGCAATGGTTTTCCCAGCAAGACTACTTAAGTGGATGTGTTGTTTAACAGGCTCCAAAATTTGCCACAAGTCATTCACTCCCATTCTGGCTATTATCTGCTGTTATTTGAAACACATTTTTCAAAAACTGTTAACAGACACAGAAGCTTGGAATAGGAATTCAAGCAATATGTTACGAGCTAGGTAAGAATAATTTGTAAATAGAGGAGCTTCCTTTTTTCTTTCATTTGTCAGCTTTTTGGACTCGACCAAGAATACCAAAATCATTAAAAATAGTGATAAATGACATACTGGCTACAAAATGCTGATGCAACTAACAAATTAAAATAAGGTGAATGTCACCAAATATGAGTTTCTCTAGAGTACTGAAAAAACTACTTTTAAATGTAATATAACTAAAATATTAATGACCCCCTTGTTCCTCCTCATTCTTTCCTCTTCTATGTCCTCTTTAGCAGTGGCTAAGAATAAAATTTCTCACATGGTTACCATAATACTGCATGAAATTTAGAAAATAAAAAATTACCCTCCCCCAAATAATGGTGATAATTGGCTTTGTTCTAGCTAATAACAAGAGCTAACAAATGCAGGATGGGTAGAAAAATAGGGAGCTATAAATCATTTCTTGAAAATTCACTATTTGACTTTCATATCTAAAGAGGTAACAGGCCCAGCTGGTGTGGTTCAGTGGTTGAGAGTCGACCCAGGCACCAAGAGGTCGCCGGTTCCATTCCTAGTCAGGGCAGCACATGCCCAGGTTATGTGCCAACGCCCCAGTGGGAGGCATGTAGGAGGCGGGCAATCAATCAGTGTTCTCTCTCATTGATGTTTCTCTCTCTCTCTCCCTTTCCCTTTCTCTCTCACTAAAAATAAATAAAGAAAAACAATTTTTTAAAAGAGGGAACAGGACAAGTCTCTATCACAAGCAGGAAGAGCAAAACAACAAAAGCAAGGAAGCATACAAACAAACAAACCAAAGGAAAAAAAAGTTAATAAAGGAAAACTTGGATGAAGACAGAAAATGAGAGCTGAAGGAATATGGAATCATCGTTTTAAAGAGCACTGATTGTTTTAAAGAACACTGATTGGCTTTTTAATTGTAAGGTCCCGCATGTTCATTGTGGAAAAAATAAAAATAAAAACTTTAAAAAAGAAATTTTAAAATCACCTATAGATCCACTATCCAAAGAAAACTAATGTTAAACTCTCTTCTATGTACATGACATTTGAAAAACAAAATTGGTTTAAACTGTGCCATTATAACCGCTTTGGTATTTTCTATAGGCCAGTTTTTCCTTATTAAACATCTATCTGTTTTTCTTTTCCTTTGTTATTGATAAAAATATTATGCAGCATTTGCAATGATTCAGTCTATGTAAATATAATGAGGATTATCATCCTCTGAACAATGACCTTACTTCATTCCAAAAACATAAGGTTTGATATTAAAAAAAATTAAGTCAAAAGGCTATCCCCGTATGCAAAAGCATACTAAATAAAAAGCACTATATTGTCTGTTCCTTTAACAGAGTTCATACTAAAATCCTATTTTCTCAAATTGTACACGGCTGCAAAGAAAATAAATTCTGGCAGTGTTGCTATGTCATTTTCTATGAGATTTTCTAAATCTTAATTTTATAATGTGGCCAGTGCCACATAACTATTATTTTATACACTCATTTTTATGAAAAACTGCACAAATATTTGCTGATACCTCAAAATACAAAGAAAAACATACAGATTTGAAAGTAAAGAATTAGGTAGTTAATAATGGTGGCTCAGTGCTAATATTGATTATTTCCGATCAAGAAGCCCCACTGTCTAAATGCGCACTGTAGCATAAATTCAGAGTTAAGGTTTCATCTCTTTGTTAATGTGAAAAATTGCTCTTAATTCTGGAAAAAGAGTGGAGACACATACATTTTCTAAGACATTATAAAGGGAAACAAGACTTTTAAAGTATTAACCATCAAAACACGTTAAAAAAAAAAAAAAAAAAGGTTTGAGGGGGAAGTTTTTGTTAATAGTTTTGCTTTCCTTTTATTTGTGAAGCAAGCTGGATACTGGAATGGATTGTTATTGAAGAAAGTTATGCAATTCTTCTCCCTGGAGGACAATTATCATAACTGATCTTATTTTGTTTAAATGTGACCCTGACTCTAGCTGTCAAAATTTTAAATACTGGTATTTTCTGATTTAGCAATAGCTTTCCTAAGAATTTAAGATATGCTCTTAGGTGTGTGCACATTTATGTACAAGGATATTTACTGCAGCGTGTTATGTTTATTTGTTTTTAATCCTCACTCAAGGATATGATTTTATTTATTTTTAGAGAGAGGAAGGAAGAGTGATACATCCATGTGAGAAAGAAAAATCCTCACATCAAGGTGAGAAACATCGACCTGTTGCCTCCTGTATGTGCCCTGAACTTGCCACCTAAATATATGCCCGGACTGGGAATCAAACCTGTGCCCTCTCTGTGTACAGGATGACGCTCCAACAGACTGAGCCACCTGGTCAGGGCCACTGCAGTATGTTTATAATAGTAAGACACTGGGAAAAACCAAATGTCCATCAATAAAGAATACATCTTTAACTATGGTATATTCAAACAATGGAATAGATAATGAAGCAAATAAAAATGCTATAGATCTATAGATACTTGCTGGCCCTGGCCCAGTAGTGCAGTTGGTGGCAGGTTCGATCCCTGGTCAGGGCACATACAATAATCAACCAATGAATATATAAATAAATGGAACAACAAATCGACGTTTCTTTCTCTCTCTAAAATCAATTTAAAAAAAAGATCTATATGTACTGACAAAAAAAGTCTCTAAGTTTTAAAAATGAAAACAGGTACAAAATCAACTATATAATAGAGATCACTGAAGATGAGGGATGAGCACAATTACTCTTCAGAGTATAGTCCTTTGTGTTTTTTGTTGTTCTAAATAATCACATGCATGTGTTACTTTACAAATTAAAAAATAAAAAAATATGTTAAGGGTTGGGAAAATAAACTAGAAATCTTTAGATGGGTTATTTCTTGGCTAAATACTAAGTGACCAAATGTAAATCTAGTTCATGGGTCAAATTAAAAGGCAACATTCTGCAAATTTATGAGTACCTGAACATCAAATATGACTTCAGTATAGCTTTTTACGGAGAAATTCACATTTTCTGGTTTCCTTCAGAATGCCTAGGACCAAATCATGTGGTCTTAGACAAAGCATATCTTTTCTCTGGCCATTCCAGCTCTAAACTTCAGTCCTTCCTATCGTGCTTCTAATGTTTGATTACACAAACCGACTATACATGTGTACCTGAAATGGTAATGAATGAAGATTGTAACAGAGTGCAGTGTTGTTTATGATGGCACATACAAACACATTTACATACAAGACTGTGATGTAGACTGTATTTCTTCTGATGGCTGGGGGGGGGGGGGGGGGAGGATCAGAATAACACTGATAAGGTGGGCTTAACTGTAGTTCTCTAAATATGCCAAGCACATTAGGATAATACTGCAAAAACTTTAATGTAATATATTATGCCTGGAAAAAATAAGCTCAGAACTAATTCCATACTGTATTAAGAATTCCACAGATTGGATCCCTTAAGCAAGACAAAGAATGCTTTTCAACTGTGCTTTTAACTAGGCCCCAAATAATATGTTTAATATAACATTATCATTACACTTAAAACCTAGTTCTTCATATTATTTTAGTTTTTTTTTGTCAGAAATAAACCTGGTTTAAAGAATGAGCATCAATGGTTATGTTACAAAACTAGCACAGGTAATTGAACAGCTATCAGCAATATCTACCTAGGACATCTATTTTGGCTGTTCTTTTATAATATATGAGTAAAAGACTATAAAGCTGTAACAATGGCTACTTAAATACAACTGGTATAAATAATGCTGGCAAAAAGAAAAAAGTCTAGCCCTGGCCAGTTTGGCTCAGCGGTTGAGTGTCGGCCTGTGGACCATACCAGAGAGTCCTGGGTTCAGTTCCCGCCAGGGGCACATACCACCAAAAAAAAAAAAAAAAAGTCTGTAACAGAATTAGGTTAATTTTTAGAAAGTAAAATTTGAGTTATCTCAGAGTTAAAGTGTTCTCCAATTTTCCCTAGTTAAGTGACACTGCTAGAAAAATGTCTCTTTCATTGCCAATCCTCTGGTCACCATATTTTTAAATGTATCTTCAAGCCTTTTTTAAAAAAAAATTTTTTTTCTTTATTGATTTGAGAGAAGAAGGAAGAGGGAGAGAGAGAGAGAAACATGGATGAGAGAGAACATCGATCAGCCACCTCCTGCATGCCCCCCTCTGGGGATTTGGCCCACAACCTGGGCACGTGCCCTGACTGCGAATCAAACTGGCGACCTCTTGGTGCATGGGTTGACACTCAACCACTGACCCACACAGGCTGGGCTCATAAAGCCTTTTAAACCACAGTGGTATCTTAACCTACAGTTCCTACCTATCTACCAAATGTATTTGAAAAGGCTGAAAGTATCTTTTGTGCTCCCCAACCACACTCCTATAAAGCAGTAATGCTCTGCTATGTAACATGAAAGAACTGCTGCTATTGTGAAATACACTTTTTAGTCCATTTTTTAAATGATGGCAATCAAGGGGGCATTTTTTTTTTTTTTTTTTTATCCTCACCCGAGGACATTTTTCAATATTTTGTTCAGATAGAATGGGAAGGAGAGAGAGAGAGAAACATTGATGTGAAAGGGACACATTGAGTGGTTGCCACCCACATGACCCAACCAGGGCCGGGGACAAACTGCAACCAAGGTACGTGCCCTTAGCGGAAACCAAACCCAAGTCTCTCCAGACCCCAGGCCAACGCTCCAACCGCTGAGCCAAACCAGCAGGGCAAGGGGGCATTTTTATAGAAGCTAGTCTCTATGACATGACCCAGTGAATATTTTTTCTGTTAGTAACTTGCCATTAATGAAATTTCTCTTAGATCTTCTTGAATTACTACAAAAATTTTTATAGCCTTCACAAGTTTTAACAAAATATAATGGATTAGAACTATGCCAAGCAACAATATTTAAAGTATGGGGGAAGACATGGGAATTGGAAAGTGAG